AAAAAGAAACGGGAACCATGAAAGAGGTAGGTGATGATGAACAGTATTTGTTTGACTTTTCTAAAGTGATTTTTTTTTTCTTTTTGGGTAGCTATCATTGATGAATAAAAAAAAAAAAAACAAAATGAATAAGGAAAAACAAAACGGAAAAAGACAATAATGGGTTTTGAAGTTTTTGTTTTTTATGTTTTTGAGTGGTAGCTATTATTGATAAATAAAAAAAAAAAGAAACAAAAATTAAAAAAAAGGGAACGGGAAAAGACAATAATGGGATTTTGAAGTTTTTGTTCTTTTTTGTTTTATTTTATTTTATTTTATGTTCTTGGGTAATTATTATTATTTTGTTATATAAAATTGAAAAGTTCCCAAAATTAAAGTATGTGGTAACCATATTATTTGGAAGTTGTGGGGTGCCTAACACCTTCCCCATGCTTAACCGACCCTCCGGACCTAGTCAATTTCTGCGTAGACTTTGGTGATCTATCCCACCTCATTTGGATAGATGGCGACTCCATCCATTTTGGCACGTCAACAAACGTTAACACATATACATTAACTGTAAAGTTAACCCTTAACTGTAAAATTTTCTAAGGTTATGTATGTTCCAAATGAATGGTAATGGATGACCTTGTAAATCTGCTAACCGGTAAAACCCAGGTCGTTGAATAGAAATGACCATATAAGGTCCTTCCCAATTAGGCGCGAGCTTGCCCATGTGAGGGTAAGCATTCGTCAATCCAACTTTACGTAGAACCAGATCGCCGACTTGAAACTGGCGAGCTCGAACTCTTTTATTGTAAAATTTTGCTACACGACTTTGATGCGCCATGTTTCTTATTCTAGACATCTCCTTGATCTCTTCCACGAAGTTTAGGTTTTCTCTCAATAGCTGCTCATTGCTGAGATCGTCATGCCAGCCTACTCGATCAGATGGCAATCCCACCTCCACTGGGATGACGGCCTCAGCTCCATAGGCCAGGCTAAATGGGGTTTCACCCGTGGCCGAGCTGGGTGTAGTACGACAAGACCAGAGCACTTTATTGAGCTCGTCGACCCAATTAGAATGTGCAGCTAAAACACGTGTCTTGAGGCCTCGCAAGACGATTTTATTGGCGGACTCGGCTTGTCCGTTAGATTGTGGAGTATATACCGATGTCAAGGCAAGCTCAATGCCATAGTCGTTACAAAATGATCTCAGTGCTGCTGCTCGGAACTGTGGCCCATTGTCGGCGATGATCCGCTTAGGTATGCCGAACCTGCACAATATTGAATTCAACAAGAATTCTTCTATTTTCCTTTCTGTTGTCATGGACAATGGTTTAGCTTCTACCCACTTAGTGAAGTAATCCACTGCAATGACTAGGAAAGTGCAACCTCCTTTGCCTTTGGTGAAGGGGCCGAGCAGGTCGACACCCCATTGAGCAAAGGGCCGGGGAGACGTGAGAGATGATAGCATTTCTCCTGGCATGTGTATATCATCAGCATTGAACTGGCAGGTCGGACATTTTTTGACATAGTTCAGCGCGTCCTCGACCATAGTAGGCCAGTAATAACCATGCCTCAGGAGTTTCCGAGCTAAAGTCTTGCCACCTATGTGCGTGCCACATACTCCTTCGTGAACTTCCCTCACTGCGTATTCAGCTTCGTAAGGAGTAAGGCAGCGTAATAGGGGCATGGAGGCTGCCCGTTTGTAGAGCTGGTTATCTACCAAAGTGAAATGTGCCGCCCTGCATCTAATCACTTTTGCAGCAGATTGGTCTTCAGGTAGCTCGCCACTTTGTAAATAATTTATGAGCAGGGTGGTCCAACTCGGTGTAGAGGGGCCTGTACTTAGCAGTTGACACTCGACTGTGAAATCAGTGTAGCTCGGTGCGTCGAGTACCTCGACAATTGTTGATCTCTGAGGGTTAATGTCCTGCGAGGAGGCCAACTTTGACAGCTCGTCAGCTCTGTGGTTGTCTGCTCTTGGTATTTTATCAATTTGGAAAAGGGCAAATATCGATTTCAATCTGTTGACCACAGAGGCATAACGACTGAGCTGGGGATCCCTGAAGTCGCAGCTGCCATTCACCTAACCCACTACAAGCTGTGAGTCGCTGAAAACCTGAATGTTTTGTACTTTCAGCTCGGACGCCAGCTTTAGTCTGTAAATGAGGGCTTCATATTCTGCAGCGTTATTGGTCGTCTGAAACTTAAACCTCAGCGCGTGCTCAGACTTGAAGCCATCTGGGCCAAGTAACACAGCCCCAGCACCCGACCCTTCAATATTAGCTGCTCCATCAACATACAAAACCCAGACTGGGTGTTCAGGTGCTTTCTCTTTGTTAGTTATTGAGGTGCACTCCACCAAAAAGTCCGCTACGGCCTGGCCCTTTATGGTTGTGCGCGGTCGAAATTTCAGGTCATATTCACTCAGCTCGACGCTCCATCCAATAAGCCGACCAGAGAGTTCAGGTTTCTGCAGTATTTTTCTCAATGGTAAATCGGTATAGACGACAATCTGATGAGACTGAAAATAAGCTCTCAGCTTACGAGCCGTGCAGACCAAAGCAAAAGCAGCCTTTTCTGCTAGCGGGTAGTTCTGCTCGGCACCTTGTAACACCTTGCTCACGTAGCAGACAGGCTTCTGACTCTTATTCTCTTCCCTTAGCAGCACTGAACTCACCGCTTCTTCTGTGACCCCCAGATAAAGATATAAACATTCCTCGTCGACAGGCTTGGACAACAGGGGTGCGGATGCCAAATACTGTTTGAGCTCGTCAAACACCAGTTGACACTCATCAGTCCACTGAAAGTTTTTAGGCTCCCGCAGAGCTTTGAAGAACGGAAGGCACCTTTCTGCCGATCTGGCTATAAACCTGTGCAACGCAACCACCCGACCTGTCAGACGCTATACATCTTTTACTGTCTTGGGAGGTTCCATCTGCTGAACTGCCTGTACCCTCTCTGGATTTACTTCGATTCCTTTCTTGGATACCACGTACCCTAGGAATTTCCCTGATTCCACAGCAAACGTGCATTTCAAGGGATTCAGTTTCATTTGAGCTCGACACAAAGTTTCGAAATGTTTCATCCAGGTCGTCAATGTGATCCTCAGCTCGCACGCTGGTGACTATCATATCATCTACATACACTTCTATGTTCCTGCCGATCTGGAGCTCAAAGATGATTTGCACTAGCTTCTGGTATGTTGCTCCAGCATTTTTGAGGCCAAACGGCATCATAACATAGCAGTATATTGCGTCACCAGCGTAAAAAGCCGTTTTTTCCTGGTCGTCTAACAACAGTTGGACCTGGTGGTAACCCGAGCTGGCGTCTAGAAAACTCATCCGTTCATGCCCAGCTGCCCGTTCTACCAACTTCTCGACATTTGGCAACGGATGAGGGTCTTTTGGACATGCGTCATTGAGGTTGGTGAAATCAATACACATCCTCCACTTGCCGTTTGGCTTTTTGACGAGCACAGGGTTGGACACCCATTCAGAGTATTCCACTCTCCTGATGAAGCCTGCCTGTAACAGCTTTCGTATCTCTTCATCTATGACAGCTTGCTTCTCGGGGCCAAAAAGGCGGCGTTTTTGCACCACCGGCCTTCTGGTGGGGTCTGTGCTGAGCTTGTGGAGTGTTAATTCTGCTGGGACGCCAGGCATTTCATCAGTAGTCCACGCGAACACATCCTGATTATTCCTCAAAAATTCCAGAAGTTCCGCCCACTCTTCCTCTGTGAGTTTAGTGCCGATCTTCACTGTTCTCTCCGGCACATCCAAGTTTAAAGGCACTGTTTCCACTGGCTCTACTGGTTCTGCCTTCTACTCAACGCTCTCAGGTCGATGCTCAATGTCTGATATACTCATTGTTTGTTGACCGGACTGGGTTGGCTTGCGGCCTTCAGCACTTGCCGGGGCTGCAGCGAGCTCGACCTTCTTGAACGTGTCTTGATAGCAGGCTTTGGCCATCTCCTGATTCCCTTTCAACACTCCTACCCTCTGAGGAGTTGGGAATTTCATACAGAGATGGGGCTGTGAGATAACAGCCTTCAGCTCGCACAGGGTGGCTCTTCCTAATATAGCATTGAAAGCTGATTCCATCTTAACGACCAGGAAGGTGACGGAAGCCATTCTGAAGCGGGGTTCTGAGCCCACATATATAGGAAGAGTAATAACTCCCTCAACCGGGGCGGGTTGGTTATCGAACCCGTATATTGGGCCTTCATGCTTCCGCAACGAGCTCGGATTTAGCTGCATCTTCTGGAAGCAACTCCAGTACAGGATATCTGGTGAACTACCAGTGTCAATGAACACTTTATTGACATTATGATTGCCTATATGAACCGTTGCCACAAAGGGATCTGCATAGGGCATCATAATGTCAGGTTCTTCTTCTGCTCGTTTGTAGTCTGCCGGGCTGAATGTGATGGGGGCATGTTCCCATTCTGGCTCTTCAAACGGGCGTTTCAAAGGCCTGTTTTTGTTAACTGTCATCACCTGGCGTGCATACGCCTTGCGGCCTCGGGCGCTTTGGCCCCCAGAGTAAACACCGCCTGATATCATGTTTATGGTACCAGAGGGTGGGGGTATTCCAGCATAACCTACCTCTTCCTGTCTTTTTGATTTGGGACGGTAGTTCTCGGTCCCTGTCCTCTCCTGTTGAACGGACGTCCTCGGTATGGTCTGCCCTGCTCAGGAGGATACTGGTTATCCTGATATACATCCTACGTCCCGCCGAGCTGGTACCTCTGCCCTTGAGGTCGGTCGTACGCCTGTACAAAATGGGTTTGAGCGGGTTGCTGGGTGTGAGGCTTCTGAACATACCCTTCTAACTTCCCATTACGAGCCAAAAACTCCAACTCGTCCTTCAAGTGTTGGCAATCCTCTGTATTGTGACCATATACACGATGGTAGTCACAATGCTTGCTCTTATCTGCCCTCGGGGAATCATGTAATGGGGGTAGAGGTCTCCTAACCCAGTGCTGGATTTGTGCCAGGATTTGAGACCTAGGTAAGGTCAAAGGAATGTAATTGGCATATTTTGGGAACTCAGCTGGTTTCCCCCATTGCTCACTGACCTTCTGTTTCTTCTTCTCTTCTCTTCTCGGTTGTTGTTCCTGGCCTTTGCTCGTCTTGTCATCAGCTTGTCGCTTGGACGACTGAAAGTCCTCTGACAGTATAAAGCTGGCCGACCTGTCATTCACCTCGTTCCACGTCTTTGGTGGGTTTTCAAGCAGGTCGTCTAGAAACCGGCCACGCTTCAACCCATGTAACAGGGCGGACAGGTAGATCGTGTCTGGGACGTTATCAATGTCCAAGGTGGCTTTGTTGAACCGCTGCATGTAATCCCTCAAAGATTCCCCTTCCTTCTGGTTAACTTGCATCAGCTCGGTTGCTGTGCGCTTGATCTCCCTTTGGCTCGCAAATTTGTTAGAAAATAGCTTGGCGAGCTGGGAAAATGAATCTATTGAATGTCTAGGGAGTTTCTGATACCATCTCCTGGCTGTTGGCTTGAGTGTTGCTGGGAACACTTTGCACATCATGGCATCATTGGCATTTTGGATTCTCATGATGGCTTGATAGGTGTGCAGATGTTCATCAGGGTCACCCGAGCCATCATATGTCTCCAGGTGGGGAATTTTGAATCCCTCTTGATACGGCTCCGTCGTAATGGACAAGTTTAGTGGTGCACTATCCAAATCCAGAGTCTGTTGATGCGACCTGGGACTTTTCAGCTCGTCAATAGACTTTTGTACGTCCCGTAGCTGTCTTTCAAGGTCTGCGTTTTTTCTCATCAGTTCTTCACTATGTTTGGACGAGCTGGGCTCGATATTCAACTTCCCGCTTCCCCTTGGCCTAGTCGGCACTACTATGTTGTTGAGAGCGGGGGAGTTTCGAGTTGCAACAATCGCAGTCGGTTGTGCACCTCTGTTCAGCAAAGGAATCAAGGGGTCATCAGGAATTAAACGGGCAAGGATTTTACCCATTGCCATTTCGAGAACTCTAGTTCTCTCTTCGAGCTCGGTTGTCCGAGCAGGTTCTGTTGACCTTTCAGGTCGTTCACGCTGTGAATTGTACGGTCTGGCAGATCTCTGTCTTGTTCCTGTTAGAACTTGGAACTGTTTAGGCTGGGTTGCATACCCAGTTGGTGTTCTTTCATCATCTGTCTCACTTAGGTGATCCTGTTCGGCTCCTCCTACAAAAAGATTTCTTGGCATTGGCCTAAAGTCATTCAAGCCGGGCTCGGATTCGTGAGTGTCCTCCTGTTCGTCCATTTCATTTCTTGGAGGGCGATCTCCTGTAAAGGTATGAACCATATTATCTTTCAGCAAGTAAAGCTACACGACTCCTTGTACGTATTCCCACAGACGGCGCCAATGTTTCAGCAGCTTCGCAGTCCAACACTATTGAAGTCCTCAGCTGCTTCTACACCTGAAAATCCCGAGGTTGTTTCCTCGGGGAAAACACTCCGACGCTCAAGTCAGCAATACTCAATGTTCTAGAGAGAGATGCTCTCAAGGAGTAATTGCAGAGAGAGAAGCGTAGAGATTAATTACCTTCATCGAAGGTAGTTGGGGGGTATTTATAGCCCCTTGGTGCTGACATACATCTGCACGTGTAAGCCTCCCCTTGACCCGCGTGGCGCTGGTCACATGGGTGTGCTTATACTGAAGCTCCTTCAGCTTAGGCTAATGGGTGGTAACCTAGGCCCGTCATGCACAGCCCTGTTTGGGTGTTGGGCCTATTCCAACAACACTACACCATTGAAGTCCGACCTCATGGCTAAACTAGGGATGCTTACTTGAACTTATGTAACTTTTTGAGTCAAACATCAAGTTTGGTGATGTTCGGCTCCAAAGCACCCAAGCTGATTCAATTATATATACATATTAATGTGAAAATAATTATTATATTATATTTACCTAAATAAATAATATAATAAAAAATATTTTGTA